TTTTAAAAAAAAAAAATTTATGTTTGCTATTAATTAAGTGCCGTAAGTAGTTTCAAATACCATCTATACCTAAAATGAAAAAAGGACTGAATCTGAGCCCACCAGCAGAACTAAGATCACACTCTTTGCTAATTAACGAACAGGTTTTGGATGCTTGTGGAAACCCGATATCCAGTAACTGATATCTCGCGTCCCATATGTATGCATATATCATATGTGATGTGAAAAAAAGAAAGCGCTTGTCCTTCAGACCTGCCGGTCAGACTCTCTGGCATGACCAGCATGCTCGCATGTCTCATTAAAATAAACATTTTATGTTCAGTATGTTTGTCCTTGCACACCTTAGCTTTGCATTTTAAGAAATTAAATATTCTTATATTTAATCTGAATCTGCCTGTTGGATCTTATTCTGAGTGATTGAGAATGAGCCTATTTTACTTAAAGCGGCTAATAATTGACAATAATGATATATTAAATGGAAATGGGAGAACAATGTGACAATGGGTCTCTTGTGAAGATGAACCTACAGAGAATTATCACCCAAATCTTTTGCTCCCCTCGGCTTTACCGAGCTTTATAAAGAGTGTCCTTCTATTCACTGTTTTCACTCACTCTTCAACGTCATTGGTTGTTTTTAAGTATAAGGTGTGTTAGTAGTTTCATTTCATCCATAGCTATATGAATAGAGTGAATGTTTGAACAGCTTGCCATGAAGCTGAATTAAAAAAAAAAGCTGTAAAATATGCTCTTCTCTTTATGCAAATAACAAAATGCAGCTCAGCCTTCATCTGAGTGAATTGACAGCTTGATGTAATCAGGAGGGCATTTCATGAGAATCTCACACATCAAGGACTACTGCTATTGAACGATTGCAATTTATTCATTTAGCAGGTCAAAAACTTAGTGTAGTCAAGGACAACAACTCCTCATGTGAGAAAATGGGTTTTAGGTTTAACCTCTTCTGGTAATTGTCACATTTACAGTTTTGTTTCAGTGTTATGTCAAAGACATAACGCTAAGGAACACTGATAAATAATTTGGTGCTTCAGAACCTTTTGATAAACTTTGCATGCATCAAAGGGCTTGTCTCCTTTTGACAGTTTCACAAAAAGAAATGAAGTGAGGAAGAAAAGGGAAACGTAGACTGCTTTTAGCGAATCATCAAAAGACGTACATTTCCATCAGAGAGATCTAAGGCCTGGTGTTGAAGTGTGAACCTACAGAGTAAAACTGTAACAGGACGTTGAGGGCCTGCACATACAAATATGCAGTACTACTAAATCCTCTTACGCGTGCTGTTCTACTGTATGAAACGCATGCACTGCACACAGGTACTGTAATTGTGAGGATACCATTTACAGTAATGTGGAACAGAGTTTTGATGTTTAGTCATTTATCTATTTTGTGTCGGCTAATAAACACAATTTTAAAGGTGTTGTAAATCTTCCTGTAAACTGCAGACTTTTGCACGATCGAACGATTCCGCCGTTGGTGGAACACTTTCAAAATAACACTGATGTAAAATGGCTTCTGCCGTTCCACTTTTCCATATTTTGACATGATAAACGTCATATTAGGGCATCGACCCCTGTCAAACTGTTAGCCATGTAAACGGCTTATTAGGAATATTGTCTTTTTCGAACGGCAAAAAACTGAATATTTGGTGCATGTAAACATAGTCGGTGTTAGCTCAAAATGTTGGTGATTATTAGTATGAGAGCATAATAGTAAATGATGTGTTGATCAGTGAATGTGGCGATCCTTATTAAGTGAGTAATGGATCCAAACGGACATGTCTGGACACTGTAAGATCACAGAAGGTTGGGCTCTCTCCAGCAGCCCGGGTCAGGATTCAGAGACCTGGAGGATGATATATTTCTGTGAAGCTCCTCATGAATCCTTTATCAGCGTGTTTGAACATTGATCATATTGAGTATTAGCCCGAAGGCTGGACTCTGCTCTTAAAGTGAGACGAAAGTCTAAATTCTAACATGAGTGTTATCCGAGATGATACAAGAACATCCGTAAGAAAAGAAAAAAAAATGGACAAACAACCTAGTCTAACTTTCTACTAATTCAGAACATGTACTCTGCTTTACTTCCTCTTCATCGCATATTTTTTTTTGCAGCTCTGATATTAACACTTGGAAGAAATTGCCAGATTTGCGAAGGTTCTGTTGTACAGTAACTGCTGTTGTATCTGGCTGCTGTAAGTAACTGCTGTTGTTAGATCTGAAATGTGGTTTGTGCGAGTCTGCCGGTGAAGTGATAAACACCTACTCCAAATGACTCATCACAGAGCAGCGGAGGCTTTATGGAAATATTCAGACAAATCCAGTCAGATGCTTGGAAGACCAGGGTTGCTTGTTGTGCATCGCCTTCTAAAAACGTTGGCAGCAGAATGTGTGCTACACTGATGAAGATTGTGTGACATTAATATTGGGTGACTGGATGTGTGAGCTGAATAACATAACACTGGAGGTTAACCAGGAATGTGAAGTCATTAGCGCTGAGAGCAACGGTGGGTTTCTAGTCTGACAATACAACTGGTATTTGTAACTGAAAGTAGTCTACACTAATGGATGAATTATGAGGCAGTGGGCCTTTGGACACGCAAAGGGTCCCCCACCCATCTTACATATGGAGGAAATGGACATCTACACCGCTGTGTCATTCTCTTGTTGTTTTGCATCACTTTGTGGTAGTTTTTGTGGTGTTTCTATGTCTCTTTGTGACCATTTTGTGTATATTTGTGGTCATTTTACATCTCTATGTGGTTGTTTTGTGTTTCTTTGTGGTCGTTTAGCTTCTCTTTGTCGTAGTATAGTGTCTTTATGCTTGTTCTTCATCTCTTTGTGGTTGTTTTGCTTCTCTTTGTGGAAGTTTTGTATTTCTTTGGGGTCGCTGCCACAAAAGTTACAAAGTCTTGATTTAAATTGCATTACCACAAAAGGATGTTGTGGCATCAACAAACAAATGTTGCAAACTTGATGTTCACAGTGATGGATTCTGCAGCTCAAACAAGTTTCCGGGTGCTGCAAACAGATTTTAATATTGTATGGAAATAAGCAAATTGAATTCTGGAGCACAGAGAAAAATCCATTAAAATTTCTAAGACACAGCAGAATAGTTTGCAAAATGGTTAGCTGAAATATAAAGCCATGTAAAATGGACTAAATGTGCAAAATCGTCGTTGAAGCCCTTTTCACCATTATGCACAAGCAAGCTAAATTGAAACCATCTAGTATACTGTGTAACCACAGCGTCCTTGGATCCATTCTCGTGGGTGGTTTTGTTCTGACTCAACTCAATACAAGATTTCCTCTGTTTCAGGAGAATGTTTACTAAAATTTAACATGATGGGAAATATTTAATTACTTTCTTCACTGTCTAGTCTGAATCATGAATGTTAATGGCTCATTTACAAGAGGTAGTGTGTATCTAATTTATAACACATTCATGTCGTGACGAGTAACGTGTTAATTAGAATTTCTTCCGCTAATTGCAGTGCCAACATTTGGAACTATCTGCTGCTCTTTGTTCACAAATAGATTTAGAATTTGTCACACTTGATATCTATTTGGTGGAAATAAAAGCTGTTGACATGTTCCTGGTTAGGCGCAGTGGTAGCTTTTGTCTAAACAGGTGCAATGATTTATTCTGCCTTCCCCTGCTCTCTGCGGCGCTTCTGCATGGAGACTCTCCCACTGTGACTGTTTAATTAGTCACCAATGTCTGTGTCAGGGTTTCAGTGCCGAGCTACTCGACTCCCTCGGTGACAAACTGTTGCCAAAGAAACACATCCGCAGTGCGCTCAGATCCACTGATGCCTAGGGGCGGCTTGAGGAGTTCAGGGGGGTGATTGAATTGTTTACAGTTCTGTGCTCTTTTTCAGTTTTCTGTTGGGAAATATAGCATCATTTATGTCTGCTTGGCTTTTCCTTTGGCATAAATCTGAAATGACTAATGGTACACTGTGGCTCCTTGCCTCCAAACGACACTGTGAATATCAAAAGGATTGATCAAAGACTTTATTAGCTACACCTCTCCAAAATAACACCCTTACCAAGATTTCTTTGTACTGTATATACAAGGAATCTGACATTTCCAGGCTCGGTTCCTTCTTTTTCTTCACGGTGTGCTTAGTTTTTGCTGACATGTTTTTTTTTTTTTTCTTTAGTCCACCAAAACCCAGGAGATGCTCATAGCTCAGCTCATTCCCACTGGCAGATTGTATCTTAACAGGATCTCAAGTTTACAGTTGATGCACAGCCAACATATACAGATGATAAAACACACAGTAATTGCATTGATTGGAGAGTTCAGAAATTATAATTATTTTCTTTTTGGCCCCACACTTATGGTATGATTGCTCATTTGGGGATTGTTCACTTTAACGCACAAGCTTTGAAACGAGATAAAATGTTAATGAATTTGAGACAGATTTAAGTCACTGATCAAGAAATTTGCAGCACCAACTACGCCAGGACACGTAGTCTCCATTAGCTCAGAGCTGAAAATGAAATTCTGGAGAACCAACTCAGACACAACTTTAAGCTGCAGATCTGCTGACTCCAGTGCCACCCAGAGGTCTTAATGCAGCTGCAACTCTGTCACACTCTGATTATACCTCTCTAACCTTGGCAATCCTCTTCACACGTGGCTGTGGTGTTTGTCTACCGTCTGCTCTGAAGAGTTATTTTTCTGCTCAGATCTGAATATCCCTCTGAAATACAAGCCCCATCCTCTTCTTCACCGTTCCCCGTTTTTTTGTCCTCCCCTTCACGTGGCCATCATGTCGACCTTGATTGTGAGAAGCAATCACGCCTGGTTATCGAGGCACCACCAAAGTGCCTCCGTGTCTGACTTCTAAAGAAGGATAAACGTGAAGATTCAATAATTTCCAAAATTGGTGATCTTGTTAGCATCATTAATCGTCGATTGTCAACTCACTTTTCTCCCTACCTGCTTCCCTCCCTTTGTCTCTCTTTCTCTCTCAGGTCTACATCCCCTGCAGAACAGCTATTGTCCTGGCCAACGAGGAGATAGATTACTGTTATTAGGGGATGATTGTCTCCACAGAGACCAGGATCCAGAATGGATTCCAACCTCAAACTGAGTGTTAACAATCACCTTCATCTTAAAGTGTCAACCTTGCACACCACCAAAACCCACTTTTTGTGTTTGAGTCTTTTTTTCTAAATGGGGGGGGGGGGAGCATTTTGAGCTTTTGTGCTTTCAAACTCCATCTGCAACCATAGATGCTGTATAACCCCATTTACTACAGATTGGTCCATTTGGGAAGCGTCCAACCTAACCAGCAGCTAGATGCTAAAACTCAAAACCCTGCCGAGTCCTTCCACCACTAGCCAGCAGCCATTTATAGGCTCTGTTGAATTTGGCGTGCCATCTGAAGCACATGACCGGCGCCTGTGACAGAGGGAAGCAATTCATCAAGCATTCAAACATGAGGAAAGGACAGAGAACACAAGAATATTTCAGAATGTTATGTATGTTGATAAACAGTTTACTTGGCTTAATTATCTTGTAATTTAATACAGGTAGAATTATGGTCTCAAAGACACAATGAGATTTACAGTATTACCATTTACATTCAAATTCAAAAACGTCCAGGTATTTAATCACCGGTGATCCATCTTTCATAATTTGCATTTTGGGACCTTGTACGTATAAAAAATATTGCAATTTGCACAAAGTAATAAGCTGCTTTGAATTATTATACTTTTAATGGGTATCTAAAAGAGTTGTGTTGGAATGTTTGAATTAATGCAGCTATTGGGAGCATTTACGTGGTTATTTATAGCCGTGTTATTTAGCCAGTAATTTGCAGCTAAAGCAAAGTGATAAAATCATCTAATTGGGATTGTTCACGGTGTGTTGCATAATGCACAAGTAACGTATTTAGCTGAATTCGTTTTTTGTTTTTTTTCTTCCACTTAACAAAATGTAAAGCATGGTTTTCTCCCACAGTAGATCCCATTAGAGTAGTTTATGTCGTGTGTATTTCACTAAATTCCTCGTAGTCTACTGAAATAAGTTGGTACTGTAGAGAGGAACACATCATTTTGTGTGGGTTTTACAAGTGTGACTCACACACCAGACTACTTTAAGATACCATGATTCATGTGCATCACCTTCATTAAATGCTGCAGCACTCCTTTGGGATCATTGCAGGAAACACAGGCTGAGCCTAAATCCACGCAAAATGACATGTGCCTCTCCCAATTAGCTCAGCCTTTTGTGGCTGTTGTCTCAACACACTTGATGATTGAACATCTCAAAGAGCAGCTGCAATGCAGATCATTGTGCTGTCATGTGTGGAGATTATTGATGAACTAAAACTGATGATAGGTGACTGTTTTTGTGACTGCTGAACTCAACCCAACATGTCATTAAAATGGTCTTTCAAACCAGAAATCTTTTGGAATTATGTTTCACAAACGACTGTGATAATTGATCTGTCTCCAGCCTTTATGTTCTCACGTTTTTTTTTTCTAAAAGTTCCCGATTGCCATATGAATGGAATTAGACAACTTTCAGCATTCGCTGCACGTTCTATCAAAGCAATACTGTTATAAGTGAAACGAGCTGATTTTGAGCATCCCAGATGAATGCTAAGGCTTTGATTCACTGCCATAGATACTGTAGCGCTGTGATCCACACCTACTGCATTAGCACAGATTCTCAGCCATTTAAGCCGTGTATTGTAGCATATGGCAGGTTTTGATCTGCCTCCCCTGCAGCGGAAAAAAACAAATTCATATTCGAGACCATCCTTCTGTGTTCAGCCAAAAGTATCATGAGCATGTCATTTCTTTTTGTGTTGCACTCAAAAATGCCTTTTTTCCCACCCTTCGAAAAGCATGGAGAGGATCACTGCATAAATTTCAAGCAACGAGGTTGCGATTGATGTGGAGTGTTTAATCATCCCTCGTCTGACCCAATGTCATTGTCGTTTTACCACCGCCAACATGAATTATCTGCATTTGTTCTCAAAAGTAAAATTGATGTCTGATCCACAGTAACTATTTCTGCATATTTCTTTCATTATTACCAATGATAATAAATCAGTGCCTGTCCGGCCATAAGAAAAATGTGGATGAGCTAGATGTGCAATCTGACTACTGATTCTGTCCCATCACACACTTCTGTGCTTATGTTAGGAGAGTACTGGACCAGACTTTAAAATAAGGGAAGCCTTGAAGTGTTTGCACTCTGCACTCTGCACTCCAGAACATAAAGTTTCAGTTTCCATTTGGTGGCCAGGGAAGCTGTGAAATGTTGTTACGGGACTATACAGAGCAACCGCATGAGCGGTTCCCACAACCTGATGTAAGGGGGATGAAAGACGACTCATCAGACCGTAATACTTACATTTACATTTCCTAGGCATCCTCACTCTGTTCACTGGCATCCATAAAAAGCTGCTTTTTATTAGCAGCTGCACCATGAAAAGCAGTTTGGGCAGAATGCTGTGGTCATTTTTGAGGCTGTATTTTTTTGTAGTTTGATTTATTTTTTTTTCTCTTTTTTACATTTTTCTTATTGTTTTTTCTGTTTCTGGTCGACACACATGTTTACTAGTTCCTGGGCGACTCACTTGGTTTAGGTACATGTTTTGAAGCTGCATGACATGTCTCATGCCGCTTCTCAGTCTCAGAAGTATTTAATAAAGGCTAATGCCTAAAATACATAAATCTCCAACCTTCAAGAAAGCCCTCTGGCCTTTTCCAAAAATGGCTCTCGGTAACTTTACGAGTATTCATGTGCTACCACCGGGGATGGTTTGTACATTAGAATGCAGTTCAATCAAATTGGCATGCAAATTTGTTCACAATAGACAAAATAACAAACACCCTATTTCGCAACACACCCACAAAATGTGTCAACTTCCCTTAGTTAAATCAACACCTTTCTGAAACGGTTGCAGCTAACCAAACTGAAAGCTTCACAGTCTTAGAACCCCTGTAGACGACTGCCCTGAGATATCCAGGACATGTCAGATGTACGGCAGCGTATACCTGAAAATATTTTATAAGTAACCCTGAATGCACAGAGCGTGTTCTGTGTTGTAACAGGTTGTCTGTTTGTATTTCTTATGGGCTCACAAGCATACAGATGCCTGGGGGGGGGGGGAGATCCTGCAGAATGCGATGTTGTCAAAGTGAGAATTGGGGCTCTGACATGTGCAAAGAAGATGTTTTCAGAGTTCGACCCAGGTGACTGCAAAAGTCAGGTCGGGATTTCACAATGCAGGCTGCTGCAGCTTTAATACAAAATGCCTGCGATTATATTATATTCCGTCACTAGAGCTTTCCAGGTAAAAGCTGGTTTAGGTCTAGACAAAGACTAAAGGTATTAGAAATGTAAAGTTCTCTATGCGACATTCAGAGCGTTAATATAGCAGCAAGCAACTATTTGCTATGCAAAGTTATGGAGTAATATCCAAGCTTCTCTGTGCTATGATTACATAGCCAGGCAGGCCGCGTGTGCCTTAAGTGTATGTGCATGTGAGCGTGCACCACTGGCTCTGCACTGCTCTCATACGGCGGTTACAGCTGATATCACCATCCCAACCAACGGCGTAATCACGGACGCATAGCACCCACCCCACTGTTAACCCTCAGGTACACTGTTAACTCTGTCAGCACTGTTGCCATTGTTTGCACCGCCAACGTAACCGTCGCCATTTTTTAAGAGTGGTGGGGAGGCACAAGGTAAGTTCTGAATTTCCAATTTAGCACCTTTAATAACATGAATAAGTGAACTGTTTGTTAGGTCTAGATCTAGCAGGTTATCTGTTGGTACAACAAGCAATAAATAATTTCGGGGAGCACGCACAGGGCAGTTTAGTATTGTAGTTCAAAGTCGAGTGTAAAGCAATAGGATTCAAATGGAAAATGTCATTAAATGCCATGATGAAAAAGGCTCTACACTGCGTATGGTGTCTGATGTTTTCCATTTCTTTCAGCATGATATTAGAGTGCTCAAACCAGTTCCTTAAAAACCTTTTCAACAGAACGTACCTCAAGAGAATTTCTGCAAGGCAAGTTAGGTTTGAGCATAAATGTTAAAAGAGTTAGTTACTTCAACCCTTGCTGTCTCTATTCAATAATACATTATTAATGTTGAGAGCTATTAGAGAGGTATGTTTTTCCTCATTCATTTTTAGCACATTTAAGGCTACTGTGGGAGACTGGAGAAGGCTGTAACAAGGGGTTACAGGCTTATCTCTCGATCAGAAACATGCTAGAGTGAAGACACTCGTACTGCACATGCTCAGTTAGACCCTCCCCCCATCAAGAAGACAGATAAACAAATATGAATAAATAAATAACACTATAATGTATAAATAAAAAATACAATATCATTGTCAAACAACATATTTTTCACAATATGAGAAAAAAAGCAAAAGTTAATTGGTGAAACACATTTCTAACATGTTGCAACCATTGATTGTGTTGCAACATTCAACATCTGACTTCTTTCATTCAAATTCATATTGTGAAAGATGTCATGTGTTATCATATGTAAGTTTAATAAATAGGAATTTGGAGAACCTTCCCCGGTCTTCCTAAAGTTTAGATTAAACATAAGAGAGCTTGTTCTTTTCTCTCGTGAATATGTGGAAGAGTCAAGAAAAGAACCTCCATCGTTCTGTATGAAGAGAGGTAGCCTGTGGTTTTCAGGAACAATCACCTCCTGCAGGTCTGAATGCCTGGGGCACACAGTATGGTATAGCTTATGCTTTTTTGAAAAGCTTGTATTTTTCTAGGATGGTAAAACACTATCCTCCATAACTTTAGCCTCATGTATAATCAAAGGCTTCCTTTCTTTGGTTGGTTCATAAGATTTAGATGGGACAAATCAGGAGCCTTGAGAATCAGAACGCGGTAGTTTTAGTACCATAGGAACATGAAACGGGTGTAACAAACAGGTTTATGCTACATTTTTCAAAACATACATCACATCCCAGAGGACACAAGATATAGATTTGGAAGTTTTGAGTACACACATTTTGTGCCTCTCATGATTTACCATTAAAATGGATTCAGAGAGCTGAGCATTCTTTCTTTCAAAGAAAAATGAAAGCAGGAGGTCATTCAGCACTTACTACCAATCTGAAGGTATTCACATAATCCTCAAAGACCCTTCTAACATCCAGATTCAATTTTAAAAAAATGTGGAATTAAAAATGTTCAAAAGTTTTGACTGAATTTCCTATCCAGGTATCCAGAAAGTACATGTGTCTGCTCATTTTATACGACACAAGAAAAATCGATTCACAACGTTAATACAAGGAAGACATGAAACGAATTTATAAAACATGTTTTTTTAATTTAGAAAAGTTGAAATTCAGTCTATCCCAGGGTAAAGAAACCTACAATGCCAACATTTTGTCTGGCGACTGGGTTGTTTTCCATCGAGATGGTAAGAGTTATTGAGGATTTATTATTCATTTTTCTGGAAAAGGGAAGCTTATGTGACTCGAATGTGAACGTTATAGCCTGCATCAGTACCACAAACTGGGACTAGTTTGACAGATGCTTCCAATGTGCGATAAGCAAAGCCAAATGTGTGACCAAGACATCTCTTTATTGAAATCATCAAGATTAAATCCCTCATCTCATTGGAGTATTAGTATCAAACACTTTAGAGGGAGAAATCCTTGTTCCTCCTGAGTCAAGCTGATTCAATTCTTTGCTTTTATTGCAAAGAAATGATTGTAAAGGTCACTGGTACCTTACTGGAGCACTCTGGCATCAAGAAGAGGAGTTGGGTCTCTGCAGAAAGAAGAGTGTGCTGATATTCTTTTTTTTGTCGTTGCAGTTAGTTTTTCATCTTTACGCAACACTGGCAGCAACTGATTTCAATGGAGATCTTTGAGACCCAAAGTGGCATTTGTTTTCTATTGTGCAAGGTAATTAAATGCATTCTCCTGGTATCTCGTGTCTATTCAGTCCTCATTAAACAATTTGAATGAAAACCATCAGTAGTCGAGCTCCTGAGAACCAGAGCTGAGAAACACGAGCAGAAACTGCATTAATACTGAACCCTGAAATAAGTTTATGGGATGGAAAAGGATTCACCAGAAATGTACAGAAACTGTATCTGAAAGGAGCAAAATGCAGCGATATCTGGTGAGGGGGAGCGTGCAAGTGTTTCTCATGAAGTACTTCCTTCTCTGAGTCCCATAGGAACTGCATTACCTCAGAATCACCTTAGAGCACAGACTCCCGTTTATCAAAGCGATCCAACAATTGGTCCACTGGGTGAGCGCCAGTCAACCGTAAATCCAGAAATGTCAGATAAGGGAGCGTCTACAGCACTTCTCCCACCAATTACGTCTTAGTAAGCTTTGATGCATGTAGTAGTTATTGTCAAAACAAAAAGAAGGGAATCATGAAGCCGCCAATATCCAACTGATCTCAACAACCTCTGCAGCTACTTGCAGCAGGGGCCTAAAACTTACTGGTGTGGTTGGGAGGAATCTCTCCACCCCAGGATGGATGGAGCTTAGTCATGACTGGTGTGGCCTCTTTTTTGCAGTCGGAAAGGATCCCCTTGCTTTGATAATCCCAAATCCTGGTGTAGATTTTGGGGCTATATATCGAGAGTGGGGTTGGAATAAGAGGATCACGACATGGTACCCGCTCCACAGCCACAGCAGGAAGCTCAGAGAGTGGCGCGGATCAGCTCTGTTTCCCCCACTGAGACTTTTTTTGCAACTTCACAAGCAATATCCATAATCGTCCTGTGTTGATGCCACTGTTTGTATGCAAACATGAAAAAGGAAGGAGGACCAGGGAAAGATGCCAACATATGCATACTGATATAGGGTGAAATTTAAAATGAAGACACGCCTAAACCGTTTGTGATCACCATCCAGGATGCCTCAAAGAGGTCCACAGGAAGACCTGCAGGGGCAATCGCTTGTGAAGAGCACTATCTGGTGGATACTCGTGGTACTTGCAAAGGGGAACAATTGGCATCTGATATTCGTCTGATAATCGGGTGGAGCCACGGTCAGCTCGGCGAACCACCCACAGTCAGTGTGTGAGGCCTCCGTACACACGCACACACACGCGTGTGAGTCCTGACCAACAAACCAGCAGACTGATGACAGCGTTTCACGCCACTTCTGTCCGGAGTTGAGTCGCGCAATCTGAAAGAGGCAGAAGCTGTTTTGGCATCTTCTCAAATAAGGTAAGACGTTTTAAGTTAAATATTCGGACTATTACTTTTAAGTACAAGTTGTTCTTTTCTGAACAATTGTCCCATTTATTCGGCTACAGTTGTTTGTAAGAAAAAAAACAGCAACAACGTGGTTACTTCTCAGCCATGCGTATCCTGCAGCAGTACTCCATACGGAAGCAGTGGATATGGTCTGAGGAAGAGGAGTAAACCATCGCGGCTGATGCAATATAAACTGAGTGCAGCTGGGAACAGCTTCTGTGCTGTGCTTTTCGCTTCATACTGTACAAGCGGAATGTAAAGATACACTAGTGATACGTAGTCTATAGAAGTGAAGTAGTTCTGTGTGGAGGTTTGCTGTTTGAAAGAATGCATCGGTGGCCGTGAGGAGGAACATTGCCTTTTATAGCGAGTGCCACTTCCACCAGCAGTGTGGGGGAACTCTTATGAACCCGCACTGTAAATAAATGGGAATTACTGCCCATTTTCCATCCGTGTTATCCAATAATCCGTGACCTAAATAACAATTCTGACCAATACTGTGGGTAGATAATGAAGGCTTTGATCAAACATATGTTTGAAAAATGCTTTTTGTTACTATTTGAAGCGGTGAGTGTTTTATTCACCTACATTTAATGGTTAAATGCTTTAAATATCTTTTTGATTACATTTTCATTCAGGCCCACTATAGTTTGGACTACTTTGTTTTGAAACGTGTCTGTATATGAAATAATTAGCAAAAAAACAAACTAAATCAAAAGAACGCTCAGAATATGTTAATCAAATTAAAAATCATGTTCATCAAACCCTGTATTATCCACACAGCTGATATTTTAGTCTGATGTAAACTTTCACAAAGGTCAATAGTGCATTCTGTCAGTCCATCCGTCAGTCTGAGAAGTCTAAACAACTTCTTCATTTGACTTCACTGGTTTGAAGCGGGGTAAGGCCAGCATATTGGGCTGATATTCACTAGATATGGAAAGACGTTCATGTTTGTAAAACCTTAAGCAGTTGCCATCCAGCCAAAGAATTTGATTAACTTTAATCTGTTTATAAATCTATTTTTATATCTGTTAAAGATTAGAGTTTAGTTTAAATGAGGCTGTTTAGTGTCCTGTGCTGTTTCCTGTTTTTGTCTCACTGTGCAGTGACCATAATAAGACACTTTGTGTGAATCAGACATCTCTAATGAGGAATGTTTTGCTATAAATATTCTATAGATAAATAAACATCTATTGATTAAAACGGAGGCAGTGGGAAAGTTCCAAAATAAATGTAAATACTGGTATTGTTCCTGTCAGCCAATTAGACATACTGCTTTAAGTATAGTAGAGTAGTCAAATTAAAACGGTCATTGGAACATTTTAAATACACAGTGATCACATGCCAAACAAATGTGAATTCATCAGTTTTTTGTAATTATTAGGGGCACAGTGCCAGCTAGTGGTCAGAAATATCCAAGACTGAGGACTGTTCCTATAAATCAAGGACACTTTAACTATTAACTGAAATATATATGTAAAATACAAGTCACACATGTTTTGGTTATGTACATATGTTCTTGCGTAGATTCTGTATTTGGTGTCACTGTGACATTTCTGCATAAAGTCACAAACAATGAGGAGGGCAGAAACATAGTATAATAAATACTGAATCAGTGCAACCTTGTGCCTGCAAGGTCACGTCCGCTGAGCTCTAACGGGGGGGGGGGGCTGCACCTGGCTTCAACATCTCTCAATCTACATCACAGATGATCCTATTATTGGCTGTAATGTGTATGTGTGGTTTACATTCAGGCATTACTCCGGTAAGAAATTAAGATCTTCTGGCCTCAGTGATTATGTATCTGCTGTATAATGAAGGGGACCCTTTTAGTTTTAAGTCTGTTTTTTTGGGGGGGGGGGGGGCAATCATTTATTTATTTTCTTCTGTTTTCTTCCACAAGGGCAAGAATAAACATCACGTGTGTGCTCAAGACCCACTTTGGGACTTCTGTCTGAGAAGGTATTAACATATCAGCAAAACTCAGAAAGCAGTAAAGGCGGTACTTCCTGTTCTCCTAATGCCTGGCTCTTGTAACATTCTGTTCTTTGTAGCTTTAATGGTACAAGGTCAATGTGGCCCTAGAAATGTCACTAAGGCCTAATTCCCTGGAAAGGAATGTTTGTTTGGCTTGTGAAGGCGGTCTGTTTTATGATCACTCTCACATGGCACTTTGTTTGCTCCATCCCCAGTTGCACCACAAGGGCAGGTGGGCTTTTTGTAGTGTTGCTAAATACACTTCACGTGCCAAGTGGGACATCAGTGGTCCCTGAAATGGCTCTGTGCTGCTGCCGTCTTTTAAATTCATGCAGGGAAAATTGTAATTAAAGACACTCGGCAGCTTTTCTCAAATTGATGTTAGGAAAAATGTCAGGTTTCAGACGCAAATCCTTAGATATGGTGTATTTGTCAGATGCATTTGGTTCTGCAGGTGTATGTCTCACAGGGTACAATACACAGGTCCAGTATTTAGAAAGCACATTTTGAAAGCAAAATCAACTATATTCTAAGGATGCAATGTCATCTAAAACATTCAATCACATGCAATAAATCAATGGAATTTTTATAATACTGTATTTCTAAAATACCAATACTAGATGTATGTCTGTCTGAGTCAATTTGCTTGGATTTGTGATTTTTATCAATTTCAAATTTGGTTTGACTTCATATATATATTAAATTAGTTTAATTCAAGTGTCATTGCAGTTCAACTCTGTGCGTTTAAACAAAGTCACAGCTAACATAAAAGACATTTGAAGGAGCTAAAGTATTTAGCTTCATACCAAATAGTGACCAGCATGTGACTGCCTGCCATTTCAAATTCACCCACTACGTCAGGAGCAGGTGTTGAGCTCGACGATTGGCTGAGAAGAGGGCAGGGTTCTGCCCTGCCTACCCTCCTTTTTTTTTTAGCCCAGCCACTGCATGTCACATCTTGGGAATGCTACAGTACGCCTCTGCATTGTGTTCTGAGTCACTGGCTGTTCCCGCCTCCTTTTGTCCGCGGGGCGATGTAACAAATGTTCTGGCTTGCACAGCATACCAGGACATATTCGTTCTTGTCCTACACATTGACCTGAGAAGTACACAGTTTACAGATGCACCTTTTTTTCTTTGGGTTTCCTTTCTAGCTTCAGCTTCATGTACATTCACCAGGGTTGTGTTGGCCTCCACTGTTAGCCCAATGGAATGGCTGGCTCAAACTGTTCATGTCATCGTAGTCAGACAACACTAAAGGGGATCGGCATCACAGCTGGTCTGTGTCTTTAGCTCAGGGGCCATGTGAGGGGTCCCTGTTCTATTTGTGAGCTGGAAACCTGAATGGTTTGTACACTAAGAGGCGTCTGTGTCACGTGTCAAAGCAGCTCTTGTAAACGTCTCTCACAGCTCTATTCAGCCTCAGCTGACTGGAAGTGAAGTCTACAGCCATTCTTACTGGAGTACGTGGCTGAGGGGATTTATAAGCTGACAGAAGAAAAACGGTGTATAGCAGTGAAGACAGGAGATCTTGTTTTGTGTTGCGTTGTGAAGGTGAGTGCCGGTGTGCATCGTTAGTCAGATCTATATCTGTCTCTGATGCGCTGTTTTAGGAGAGGCTTTGAAATTGGATCCCAGATTGTCAGGATTATGCCCGGCACAATATTTACAAAATATCACGATGTAATTGTTCGGCAGATAATGTTGATATGAAACGTCTGGCAACATCTTGTTTGAGGTAACCTTATTCTGTTTTATCATATAATAAACTGCTGACTTTGTAACATTGATATTGCATTATTTTATTGTAACTGAAAAACATATTGTTCATGTGCCTCAATTTGGCATATTGTTATATTTGATAACAAAAAGAAGTTGGCAACCGTGTTATTTCTCTACATAGGTTCATCCACAGTGGGAATCGGCTGAGATGAAGTGTTACTGCTGCCTGCACTCTAACCTGGAACAATGTGTTGATAACAGATAACTGTAATTGAGAAAGAAGGAGGAAAAAAAGGAGAAAAGAATATCTTCTTGATGGATCTATTTTTCATCTAGAATGCAGAATATAATATTGGGTGTGTCCAATCAGAAGCTATGTTAGACTATTAAAATTAGACTGACGTTAGTATGCCAATTCATTCTTCACTTGAGTCATTTTTGAAGCAATGTGAAGAACAACAAAATAAGAGTGAGCAGCACTTGGGACCTTAGTATGTTTTTAGTAGTTTGACAGTTTATTTAACTCAAACGTTGTGGAAATGTACAGCTTGTAGTACTTTAATAGTATGCTCAGTACAAGCTTTTAGTATGTACTGTACTAACTCATCCAAGCACTTTAATATGTTAACATGAAACACATTTCACCCTGTTTGTGCATCGTGTTATTAGGATTGACAGGTGAATGTGTTGTATTCATTGAACGTCAAGTTCATTTTACCCTCATGCAGGTTTTTCAAACGGCTTGCTGTGTAATCTGTGACTCATGTTGACATGAATGAAGTGCATGAAGTCACATTTTTGCAACGCTGACTGCAAGCTTGTTTATTACATTAGGTTAATGCCCATCACGATGCAAAATAATGTAAACCAATAGTAATGCTCTCTTTATTTTGTGACTCCTTTCAAATCCTTACTGCATATATCCTCCATCACTGGAGGTTTTGTTCTCAAAAAACACAACAAAATTTCCGATTTATACGTCAGCACTTTGTAAACATTAGTTTAATCAACTATGCTATTATTTCTTCAAACATCACAAGTTAGAATCACAAGGAGAAGTTGATCTGGGGCTGGATCAGCACCATTTTCTTTTTCCTTTGTCTGATTTAAATGCACAGTAATCTCAGTACTCAAGTCAGTCCTGTCTTGTTTTGTCGACAGCTAAATTATTTCCTGTAGAGCTTTTGGTGCCAGCCAGTATGATTCTGGCAACATTAAAGGGCATTGGGAAGCAGCTCCTGCGGGTGAAGGTTGTCGACTGTAACACAGAGGACTCCCGCTTGTCTCGATGCCTCAACACGTTTGACCTGGTGGCTTTGGGTGTTGGCAGTACGCTGGGTGCCGGAGTCTACATCCTCGCTGGCGCCGTAGCCCGGGACAGCGCTGGACCTGCCATCGTCCTCTCCTTCCTCATAGCCGCCTTCGCCTCGGTCCTGGCCGGTCTGTGCTACGCCGAGTTCGGAGCCCGCGTCCCCAAAACTGGCTCGGCTTACCTCTACAGCTATGTGACGGTTGGAGAACTGTGGGCCTTTATCACAGGCTGGAACCTCATCCTCTCTTATGTCATTGGTGAGACAATTTGAATGAGGAAGGAAAGGAGTTGGCTGCTACACGAGATATTGTTCAGTTTACATGAACACTTTCCTCCACGCAGGAACTTCAAGTGTGGCCAGAGCATGGAGCGCCACCTTCGATGAGCTGATCGGGGGGCACATTGAGCAATTCTGCAGACGTTACATGACCATGAATGCCCCGGACATCCTGGCAGAGTATCCAGACATATTTGCCGTCTTCATAATAATCGCTCTGACGGGTGAGGAGCAGCTCGGATATACAGTATCTCTATGTGAAAAATGTTTTGTCTCATTTTTCCTTCTGACATCATAGTCTTTCGTCGTTCACATTGTCTTTTTTTTTTAACTGCTTGCAGGACTGCTTATATTCGGAGTGAAGGAGTCCGCCTTGGTGACTAAAGTGTTCACCTGCGTCAACATGCTGGTGCTGCTGTTCATGATTATCTCTGGCTTGGTCAAAGGAAACCTAAAAAACTGGAACTTGAAGCCTGAGGAAATCCTCAATGCCACCAGCAACTCCAGCCTCAAGTGGGTGACATGAAGAGCTTCATTTTCTAAAATGTTATGTGCCTAATAATATACCTGTGTGTTGTGTTTGAAATAAGCAAATGCTTTTTTGTTTTACTTCCAGTGCGTCTGATTCCTTACCATCAGCAGAAAGTCTTGGTGCAGGCGGCTTCATGCCTTTTGGCATAAATGGAGTCCTCTCTGGCGCCGCCACCTGTTTTTATGCATTTATAGGCTTTGACTGCATTGCCACTACAGGTGAGAGGGAATACATTACATTGATAAGCGACACTCGGGACCCATATCCTCTCACATCTCCAGTTGTGTTCCCTTTCCCAGGTGAAGAAGTGAAGAATCCTCAGAGGGCCATTCCCATCGGGATTGTGGCCTCGCTCCTTATTTGCTTTTTGGCGTACTTTGGTGTGTCCGGGGCCCTCACTTTGATGATGCCGTACTACTTGCTGGATAAGAACAGCCCTCTGCCAGTAGCCTTCACGTATGTGGGCTGGGAGGAAGCCACTTATGCAGTGGCCATTGGATCTTTATGTGCCTTGTCAACCAGGTAAGAGGCTTTCCTCCTGCCTCTCTGCATGATAAGTTGTAGAGGACTTGTAATTGTTTACATGCTTTTTTATTTTTATTTTCAGAATTAATGTCCAGTACCCTGAATATAGAATTGAATATATTCTATATTCTTCAATTCAGTATGTGAGGGGAATTAGTTGTAGTATTGTTTTATATATTTGGAGCTAAACCATTGAGTGAATTTTGTGATTATTTCTTTAACGGACATTGGTTTGCTTGATGGATCTGGGGTTGTTTTCATGGTTTGGGATCCTTAGTTCCAGTTATGAGAAATCTTAATGCTACAGCGAACAACGTTTTAGAGGCTGGGATCCTTCAAACCTTGTGGCAACAGTCCAATGTTATATTTTCTAACCGCGTGCATTCACTTGCACGGCATTCTGTCTCCCGTGCTAGTTTACTAGGCTCCATGTTCCCAATGCCCAGAGTGATCTGGGCCATGGCAGAAGATGGGCTGCTCTTCAAATGTTTGGCCAAAATCAGCCCGCGAACCAAAACCCCTCTAACAGCTACAATAACATCAGGTGTTGTGGCAGGTGAGCTCATGACCTAAACCTACTAACTAGTTGGGGTTCCTATCACCCTATAACCCTACAAGACGCGCTTGGCACACAAGGCCTCAACACAAGCACTCGGCCAAAAACCAAGATGACGATACAGCACAAATGTCATTCAAATGTAATGTTTCAATTATTGCCATGCGCAACGCAGGCACAGGAGCATGTTCAGTACAGCATCCCGTGCTGTTTATCAGGATGTCTGGCTGAGAATGGTTGAGGTTGAGGCCCTGTGTGAAACCAGACTTCCCAAATGTATACTTTATATAAAAGAAAATGTCTGCCTCCTCCTCCTTCTTCCTTCATCCTATGGCTTAGTCTCCTCGGCTCCATGTTTCCACTCCCACGCATTATCTTTGCTATGGCTCGCGATGGTCTGCTCTTCTCATTTTTGGCGCGTGTCAGCGAGAGGAAGACGCCCAACAACTCCACCTTGGTGGCAGGGCTTATATCTGGTAGGTAGCTGGCATGAGGCCCAAGGCAACAGTGCCCTCTAGGGGAAGGAGGATGTTGGCCCTTAACACATTAGGTTGTAATTAAATGGAGCTTGACAGTAGTAGTTTGAAAATATGTATGAATTATGTAAAAAATACTATATCTGCATTATACTGTGGTCAATGTGCATTTTTTTTTACTTTTAGGATTAGTTTGACGAAATCTATCATTTTGACGTGTGTTTTTCTCTTGTGTGTCCTGCAGCTGTGATGGCTTTCCTGTTTGACTTGAAGGACCTGGTTGACCTCATGTCCATTGGCACTTTGCTGGCCTATACTTTGGTGGCTGCCTGTGTGCTGGTCCTCAGGTACACCTCATCTCTCAGTTGACGTATCCAGTTTACGCTTGTCAGGACGCTAGAGGATTACCAGGCTGAATCACTTCACATTTGTACGTCCTCTCACTGGTAAAGGAGTCCCCAGTCAGAGGCTTGGTCAGGCCAGATGGGTGTAGAAGTGTTTAAAGGTGCAAGATACGAGATTGGGAGCATTTCTATTGCCTCTAAAATGCTATCAACATGGCGACGGCTGAGCTGGTGGCTGGCAGCTAACGGTGCTAACAGTGCAAACTATGGCAACAGTGCTGACGGTGTTTAACTGGGGGGGTTTAACCGCCGTATGAACGCAGTGCAGAGCGGCGGCCGTGAGCTAGCCATTGAGGCACACTCACATGCCCATATGTCAACAAAGCAAGGAGAAGCTTGGATAACATCACACACAGAAGGGAGAGGGACTTTATTCTCTGCTTAGGTATTCATTCATTAGCCTACTTTATATTTACATGACAAATAGCAGTTTGATGCCACATGAATGCTCTGAATCCCGTATAATGCACCTTAAAGATGCTCACAGCTTCAGTTACCATTTGATACTAGATGACTGTCCTAAGCTGCCTCATGATGTAAAACATGGTGTCTTCAAATAAAAATTGTAATGATTTCAAAGCTTATAATTTGCATTTGCCTACACTGCTCAACCTACTGACCTCCAGCTGTACTGTATTTTATGCATTTCATGTATTTAATGCATATTGGATTACAGTCATGAATAATCCTTCGTAGCATATTCACTAGAGAGAAATATCTGCTTAACCCCTTATAATGAAGGTGGTGCTATATGTTATTACATATCATTAGGATTTTCTAAAATGTCCTCAGCCTTAGTGAACAGCAGTTTAGGGAATCCCGCAGTTTTTCTAAGCGTGGTTTTGACTGTCTGTTTTTGCCATCTGAAGGTACCAGCCTGAACAGCCCAGTGTGGCCTATGAGATGGCCAACACTCAGGATGAACCTGAAATGGCTGATAACGAGGGGAACATCGACATACTACCACAACCAGACGATTGCTTCACCGTTAAGAATTTACTTTTCCCTTCAAACACAGAGCCGTCCCCTCTGTCCGGGTTTGCCGTCAACATTTGCACCAGCATACTCGGTGAGACACACAAAGCCCAGGGACTATCAGAAGATAGTGGCGGAATAATCCATCTGGTTACTGATACAGCACATCATCTTCCGGTGTTATTCTCCCCTCCAGGTGTCTTGGTGTGTGTCTTCAGTGTCGTAGCTGTCCAAGGACGTCTTGCAGTCTGGTCAGTGTCTGTCCTCGCTATTCTCATGGTGGCCTGTTTGATTGTCATCTTTATTGTGTGGAGACAGCCGCAAAGCAAGGTCAAGCTTGCCTTCAAGGTAGACTTTGTTCTTTCACCAAAGAGTTTTCTCACACCATTTCATTGTTGCATGTAAAAAAAAAAAAAAGGGACATTGTAGGTTGTGTAAAGTATACTGCTGTTGTTGTTTGCTTTGTGTTTATTTGCATGTTATGGTTGTTCAGCTCTTTGGTCAACTGTCAACTTTTTCAAACAAACATGGAAAGGGAGAGGAGAGGATTTGCTCTTCAGACTTTACAGTTGCCCTCAACCTGCTAAAGGACTACACATCTTTAAGCCAAACAAATGCAAACAGCGTGTTCTTAACAATATTTAAGGTTGCAATGTTAAATGCACACACTTTCTTCTCACAGGTTCCCCTGCTGCCCTTTGTCCCTGTCATCAGTATGTTCATCAACGTCTATCTGATGATGCAGCTCGACAAAGGAACCTGGATGCGCTTTGCCATCTGGATGGTGTTAGGTATTTTGGAATTTTGACCCTACAATGCCAAATATGATCTGTTGCTGTGTGCTTGTGTTTTGAAAATGAATTCACGTCTTTGCCACAATGTTTCCACACCATTTGTAGGTTTCTTTATCTACTTCGGCTATGGTATTCGCAACAGTGCAGAGGCAACGTTGACCAGGTCCAACACCAACACGCCAGCCTGCACAATAATGGGAGAGCCCATGGCCACAGAGAAGGAAGCCTTTCTACACAACACACAAACCGCCACAGGAGACTACTATGAAGATTCCTAAGGAAACGGGAGGTTCACTAATCCACTTTATTTCTGTTCTGTTAAATAGCCGCAAATCCAGGAGAGAAATATGGAGACTTTCATGGGTCCTTCCAATCAGAGCGTTGACTTATTTCTTATTCCAGCCAAACATTTTGATGAAAGTGAATAGGTGAATTACGTAAAACATCTGAAAACCAATATATATTTTTTTAGCTGAAAAGTGTTTTTTTGTACGTTTTTGCGCTTCGATAGGGTTTATTTTGTGAACACAACTAATTATGTGGAACCAAATCAACCAAAGGCAAATAACAAGTTGTTTTAACATAGTTTTTTGAGACATCACGTATATCATTGAAAACACATCAAACACATCAACACTTTATTTTGGTTCTTTAATCCACAGTTATATTAGAATGATGAGCCCCATTCTTTTTATTTTTCTGTAATAACACATTTGAACTTGACTTTTTGAAAGTTCAGCATTTGTTACTGCTCCTCTAGCTTGAAATCGCTCAACATTTTCATGTGGTGGCTGTTTACAGAAAAGAAATTCTGAATTACAAAAGCGTTTTTTTTTCTTCTTTTTTTTTAAGGCAGATATACATGCATTTGGCGGCTTTCCTGGTAAATATGTGTTACTCGTCATGGTGCATTAGGAAGCACAGTGCCGGCTACTGTGTCAAAATCCTATGGGAGGTTATTTTTTAAATCTACATCCCTTTATCACATGAAGTCATCCAGGTTCACCAGAAATCTGGCGCTCAGAAACACTACCACTTTCGCCCACAGGGGCCGCCAAAATCAACACAAAATGAAAGTTCCTTGTAGGAACTTAAATTGAGAATAAGCAAATAATTCACTTCACTGTATCTTGAGTTCCTTTTTTTTCTTGTAAGTTTACCTCAATGGTAAAACTTGTACGTTGGCATTTTGACTCTAGAGAAACTGTGCTGTACAGAAAGCACAACTCTGTAGACCTACCTGTGTTTTATATAAACTGTATAACTCATAATTATCATAATAATTCATCATGGTGCTCTGAATAATCAGTACATCTCAGTGTGACAGTGTTTGTCTTCTACAGTTCTGTATTGTTTTCCTCAAAGTACACATTAAGATCAAATACATATAGTGTTGTCTCCATCAGGGAACTTGATTTTTTTTAAACTAGCCAAAGGAAAGGAAAGCTGCTAATGTGGAATGATTTATTTAACCTGACAGAGGATGTATTTTAAGTGCCTATTTCCCAAGTGAGTGTTACACCTTTGAGAGGTCTGATATTGCTCTATCAACAATTGTGAAATATATATATATATAGTCTGTATATAACGTACACTTTGGAGTGTGAAAAGCGTATTTTTAGTTCACATACATCTGAACGGGCCGAAATATAATCAGTTGGTGATATTGAACACCGTTTGGTTTCCACAGAGATAGTCGTACTGTATATTCAGGAACAAACTACACCAACAGTTATGTTTACCTCAAGCAGGAATATATCTGAGAGTGCCTTTGTTATTCAGATGCTATTTAATGATTAAGGAAATGAAAGCTGATTGTGAGAGTGTGCAGATTCCCGGGGCAGCTAAAACCTAAACGCAACATTTTTGTGTGTTCACTAAAGACTGGAAATGCAACAAAGTGATGAATCTCTTAGCCGAGCCTTTTAAATGAACACTGTGATGAAATGTTTTCTTTTTTTTTTTTGCTATTTATGTTCCATTGAGAGAAACTATTGCTGTTGCCAGAAGCCGAACTCTGTTAGATTTATTTAGATAATGCGTCAAAAACAATGTTGCAATTCATTGACAGTTGCTTTAGATTCCTTAACGATGGCAATGAATTAGCGTGCAAGTTTAAAATACTACATAGCTTTGTATATGTAAACACAGTGTATGTAACTTTGCTGCATTTTGAGATTATAAAGCAGCATTGTCAAACAAGATTGTGCTGTAGAATGTTACCGTTTTCTGTCCGCTACTAGCCTTTCTCTAAACTGTTGTCTAAATGTTTGAATCAGTGGGACATTATCTCGTATACATTTTAACATTTAATGTCTGTTTTTGTAAATAAGGTTTTGATTTTGCTTTGACTTACTGCCCATATCACAAGTTTCCCTTATCCGTCGGTCATATCACCCCTCAGCTTTAATCTATTCAGTCTTTTGTTGCAAGCATTATGTAAAGTAAATAATTGTGGCTGTTCACAGTAAATGGATGGAATGTATTTGTTTGAAAGCACGACGTCGTCAGGAACCGTTCACTAGGTGAGGCTCATCTCCCTTTTGAGTTTGATGTTTCACGTGAGGCTTCATTTAAAGAAATCACAAACGGTGCATTTTATTGTCCTTGACACTGTTTTTAAGCATTTAAACATTTGCATGCTGCACTATTTCAAAGCTTTATGAAGCTTGAAAAAGAGATTTAGATTTTATAGTACTGCTAAGTTATACAGGTGTTTACAGTGTATCAAAGTGGTGAAGGTCAGCTGTTCAGCATGTGTTGTCTTGATATTGGTTGCGGTTTTTATAGTTACTGCTGTAAATAAATTTTGCTGAAAGGTAAACACAGACTTTGCCTTTATTTTTCTTTAGCTAATTGTGTTAAGGGTATTTATTTCTGTTACTTTCCACTCTTTTAGTATGCATTCTGAATTTTGTATAAATGACAATCTATTTAGTTTGGATTGACTAAAAATGTAAGATCATTTAGCAGCCGATGTATAAGTAATATTTATTATTATTATTATTATGGATTTTGTTATGTTAAGTTTTGCACTTGCATCAAAAACAATCCACTTTCTACTAATGTTTTTGTATTTTGTGTTGTCTCATTCTTGCACACACGGACTGAGGCTTTTGGAAGTATGCAGCTTTTAAAAAAAAAATAAATAAATAAAATGATGAAGGGAGAATAAATGGATGATCTCACCTGAAGGGGGCGACGTGAGCCCGTGTTGACATGGGCGTTGGGTCTCCTCTCTCCTCTCCTGTCTTCTCTCGTCCCTGTTTTCCAGCGATGGTGCAGACTGTATCCTCCTCATCGTGCCTAAACCTGGACGTGTCCCTTCTGCTGCTGCTTCTTCGTGTCTTCACTGACGAGCTCAGCGGATTACCTGAATCTGAACGGTAATTCTTATCGTTTCACACCAAGGGCGGCGGGCGGTTTGTGTTTCTCTCCCTCTCAATCTCAGATCAACGGCGGTGATAATTGGATTTATTGACACTGCTGCATCTGCTGGTGCTGATGTTTGTATCAGCGTTGTTATTTTCAAGTCTTTTTCCAATTGTTCCCAGGAGCGCAAATTCTAATAGCTGTTATACATTCAAGCTCTTAAAAAAAAAAAAAAGGTAACCTCGCTATAGGTGGGCTCACCTCAGTGTGTTTGTGTAGTGGGGTCAGAGCCGCATTCATTATTCTTTCACCTCTATCTCATGTTTGTTTTGTGTCTGTCCTAAAAGCAACAAATCCTCCTCTTGCCTTCCTGTTTGTGGATCATGTGTGTAGAATTTATATTTAGAAGCTGAGAAATGAGGAAGAAGGCAGCATGACCTGAATAAATGAACATCAGTCATGGAATCAGTGAAGGGACAGATGTCTGCTGGTGTGGTTTGAGTGACCACAGTTATTCAAAAGGCCTGATTTCGGTTTAATTATGTAAGATGTGACGGTGAAGCACTGAGGACCACCGAGGCCTCAACTAGCTCTATTGGTGATTATGTTTCACATGAACGGTGTTGATGTTACTGTACATATCTGTCCATTTATTCAGAAAGAACTTACATTCATTTGCATGTCACATTAATGCTTTTCCTCTGCACCTAGTGTGCACACACACTTTGTATACTGTGTCAATGTGCTTATGAGTCACAGCAACAGAAGATCTTCTTTGAGCTTTAGTTGGTGACACAAAGAAGTCAGGGCCACTGAAGCGTTAAAATGGGAGGGGGACTGGTGTCAATATTTCATGAGGATTTCAGTTTAAACATCAAGTGCAGCTTGGTGGACAAATGCAGGCCTTGATCTGTGCCCTGCTTCAGATATATCAGTGCTGAAGCTGAAGGAGCACCTGTGTTACTGGGAAGATCAAGTGGTTTGAGCGCACACTCGCAAGGATGCACTGATTTCATAAGAGGCCCCCCGGTGAAGGTCTCGCCATCATGCTGCATATCAGGAGGAAGGTGGCGGCGGGGTGAGTTGCTGAACAATTGGGGGATGGGGAAACATTCTCAGGGAAGCATGTTGGTACGAGCATGAATTCCCTCAATCGCTGTCACCGTTGCAGGTGTGTGAGGAAGACGACCAGGGAACGTAATTTAACAATGCCAATGCAGGAAAGAGTCTAAGAGCCTAACACACCGACAGCCTGCATATACAGTATACAGTATGTGCTATGGGGTGGGAAAGGAAGTGGAGAATATGAATTCAGTCAGTAAGACTAGCAGCATGGCACGCTTTCTGTAACGCTCGGCTCCCCAGAGGATTTTGTTGAAGGGAAAGAGGTTGAAATGAATTAAAATGTTTAATTATCTCTGTAATGCTTTCATTTCAACCAGCACAGGAGACCGTGAAGCAGAACATTATGAAATTGACAGTATGAAAAATGTTAATGTAACTCGCAGGTATGAGTATGGCAGGCAAGGTACAAAAAAAAAAAAAAAAGATTCCTGAAAGTGAGCAGGAGTGCCTTTTGGGGTTCTGAGAGATGTTAATGTTACATGTTTGCATTAGTCATTTCCATTTATGTTTTTTATTTGCCAAATAAAAAAAAAAGAAAT